ACTCTTGAGGTGTCCAGTTAAGAGGTTCTAACCAAAGGCAAGGTTAGAATTTCTTTAGATACCGTTCAGCTTTTTATCTCTGTGATTCAGAATGAGTTAGGGTTTTGATGGTAGTTATACAGTGAACCTGATTCACCATTCTGAATCCTTCCTGTGCTGTAAAATGTCTTTTAGAGTATCAACAAAGCTTTGCCACTCCTGTCTACATTGGGCTGCTCTTTGCATGTCCCACATGTTAAGTCCATACATTTTTCCGTAACTACTGTGCTATGGAAGGATTATTTCAGTTAGCCCTTTTGGCATGTTCCTCCAGTTGGCCAATGATGTGCCTTTTATGGCATGTCTTCACTTCATTCTTAACACATGCCCCCGATATTTTGGTCTTCATCTCTGGATAATTTTGTACATAAGGAGTTGCTGAGATTTGTCTGAGTTCAGCATAGCCTTGCCCAAATCAAAATTCACTCCATCTGGGTTGAAATTCTGAAGGTATATCTGAGTGGTGGTCAAAAGATCTGGATTCTATTCCGAGTTCCGTCACTGATCCACTGTATGAGTTTTGGCAAGTTGCTTAAAGTGAAATTCGGGCCCCACTGAAGTCAAGGGCAAAGAATTCAGGATTGACTTCAAAGAATTTAGGATTTTGCCCTTAATATCTCTGCCTGTTTCCACATATATATCTCATGCAGAGTTGTGATGTTTTATTAATCCTTATGAAACACTATGCAATCTTTGGAAGGATGATATAGCAAATCAAAATTAGTATTTGTTATGCTAGAAATTTTTGCATTGGTTATGTTATGGGGCTCTGGGGAGAAACTTGGGTTGCACTGTTTCCTATCCCATCCGGTTACCTTCATGCAGTGAAAGGTATCTGAACCAGAGCGAAGTTCAACAAGGTGTAATTTTTGATTGATTTATTGCTAGTTCAAAAGGATCTCTCTGATGCGGTTTAGTAACTCTCCAGTGTTGCAGAAGTTAGTTCCAGGTATTTGATATAAATTGCAGGCAGTTCTTTGAGGCAGTAAGGGTGGAGCAAATCACAAGAGCGCCACATTCTAGTGCTATAGAATAGCCTCTGTTTTTTAGAAAATAATCAATTTACCTGAGAGGCACCAACCAAACTCTCCATGTGACAAGGTGAGGACCGTGATGCAGTTGAAAGGCATGAGGCTGAAGGACAACTGTTGTCCCTGAGAAATTGCCTTTATGAAGCAGAATGTTAATTTAAAGGGGTAATATGACCCATGAGTCAATACTTGAGATGAACAATCATAGAGCTCTAACTCTAGCTCTATATTGCATTATTACTTAGCTTCAGCTAGAAATGCATTTATGATGGAATAAGTTTAAAGCAATGTTTGGGGGGCTTTTATTTAGATGTCATTAGGTCCAATGTTTGCTTTTTAATTGCACCTTGCAAAAGCTGCTTGGGCAAAAGAAGGGTATCTTGGACCTGGTCCTAGGTGGGTGAAAGATGAGTGCTGAGTAGCTGCAAGTTCTATTGATTAATAGGCATAACATCTGTCAGAATCAAGACAGTTATGTCTCTTAAATACATCGAAGGCCACTTCTTTAAGGCCTGATCTTGCAGCCCTTCCTCAGGTGACATCAGTGGGACTGCTTCCCCCATAAGTGGTGAAGAATCAGACCCCCATTTTCATTATCTTGCTATTACAACATGGTTACAAGGTGTTAGATTGAAAAAATATCAATATTAAACAGTTAGCTATTTAACTAATTGTATGAAGATGCATACCTCCAAACTTAAAACAACAAATAGTCTAGCAGCACCTTAAAGACTAACAAAACATGTAGATGGTATCAAAACCCACTTCTTCAGATGAATGGAGTTATTAAAGGTCCAGTTCCAA